TATAATTTGTACAATTAACCTCCCTGTGGTTCGACCCCGGTCTTGCTGGGTTATTTATTACTTCGACACTTCTGCACTTGGGAGAAGACATTAATCTTTTCGTCGTGTCAGTACTCACCTTCAATTGATAATGGAAAATAACGATAACATCCTTCTAGTTATTATTATTATGTTTAGATCATTTACAATTCTCATATATATATGTATATGTTGTTTTTGTAACAAGGACATCATACAATCATGGTGCATAGGAAAATCGTTCCGAGGTTCTCATATTTTGAGAGACGCTATATAATAGTATTTCTTTAGTGTTATGTTGAATATTTGTCATTCAAAACTTTTGTAAGGATTTGTAATTAAAATTATAATGAAATATGGATGTGGATGAGTAAACATGTAGATACGATGTTATGAATATATTTATGTGGTATTCTAGTTTACGAGGAGGTTGTGTTGAGAAATTACATGAGGATTGCATGAAATGAGGTACTTTTTGTGTAAGATTGTTGTTCGACACCCATGTATAAACTCATATTGGTAACGAGACTAGAATAGCAATGTAAATTCATGAGTATGTCAATATGATGTAATGTAAATGTATGAACATGAAAATATAATATTATGGACATATGTATTGAGTATTTGTCTTATGGGAATGTTGATTTACAAAAACTATATCCGTATGATGTCATGATAAGGAAGGAAACCTAATTACTAATTCATAGAATGTCATTGTGAGAAGTACCAAGAACAAAAAAATATTTCATCATTTTTTGCTTGAAAAGAACAAAAAAAATATTTCATCATTTTTTGCTTGAAAAAGTTCGGTTATTACACTTATTAAAACAAAGCTATTAATGTAAAATAGCCCAACACCAAGCTTCATGCCAAATACCAATTAGAGGTACCAAGTGGGTCAATTACAAGAGTTAGGTCAAAAAAGATTAAAGAGACATTAAATGAGCTTGTTCAATGGAATATGATGGACCTAGAGGAGCTTGGGATGGCAAGAGATCGTGAAGGACAACTTCTAATTCATCCAATCCAAGTCCAAAAAGAGCCTAATTCGTATGGACCAAAGGGGTGCCATATCTGATTTTGTAAGTTAGGAAGGATTAATTATTCTTGTAGTCTAGGAAGGAAACTAAATTGATAGGTATAAAAGCGGATGATTTGTTTTATTAATTGTTCATGCAAACCAAAGCAAAAAACTTTAGATTTAATTTCACATTTAGATTAAATTTTCTAACCTATTTAGGACTTTTTAAGGGTGTCAAATTTGATTCTAGCATATTTAATATAATAATTTTGTTTTTTATTATTTTATTTTTAGTCTTTGGTTTATTATCACTTATTTGATTCAATTATAAAGGGAATTATAAGGGGGTCTCATGTAAATCTATATAAAAGGATTCATTACAGTTTTTATTATCTTACTAATAAATAAGACTCAAAATATATAAGATTTTTTTTCATAAGATCCGGGAAATTGTGAACAAGCTGCTTGTTATCATTCTCAAACAACCACATTGAAGCCAGTCCTTTACATGTCTCTACTTATCAATCATGGAATTTTGAAAGGATATTTGTTTTCTTCTTTTACCGTATCTTACTTCAAAAGAAAGTCAAGGAAATTCATGCAATGATTTGTTTTGTAGATAGCTCAAATAAAAACGCTTTTCCCCTTTATAAATGGATCCCAGTATTTGATTTCTTTCTCTTTGATTGTTGTTGCCTTGATGGTTGGCCTTTTTTATTATTTAATCTAGCACAATGGTAGAGAGGACACCAAGTTAATAAAAGGAAATGAAAAAACTAAATAACTAATTACGCCATCAATCAAATATGTAGTCTTCTATATTTTGTTTTTCCTAGAATGGATAAATAACTTGTGCTCAATTTGTTGCAAAATCTGAATCACACATTTACCGGTTACGAGTACTCCTAATTTAGTTTGCTTATAACGCAATGCCGTTTCTTTTTTTCTCGAAGATGGTATTGTACGTATAGTATCTTTAGTGTAATGCTACAAGAAATCTTATTTCCATTATAGGAACTATTTAATTTAATTTAATTATTTCTTTAATGCTAAACAGGAAAACACGAAACAAGAAAAATACTAAAGAAGTCTCTCTTTCTTGATCTGGGGTGGAAAAACTCTTATATAGAGAGGGTTTGTTCGTGATTTTTTTATCACATGATTTCTCTACTCTTTCCATTCTCTCTTTTGCTTTAGGTCTATTCTCTCCGTTCACTGTAGTTTTTTAGTCATGGCAAAGATAGCGGTTGCTCTGTTCATGATGATGGCTCTTTGTGGAGTTTGTTTTGGTGCTGGCTACAATGTTGGTGAATCGGATGGCTGGACCATTGGAGTCGATTATAACCAGTGGGCTTCTACCAAGAAATTCCAAGTTGGTGACACTCTTGGTATGCACCGTACCTGTCTCTATATTATTTATTTTAAAAAAAAAACATACAATTTACTAGCAAAATGATCAAATCAATGTGATAAATATCAAATTTAATTACTTGTTTAGATTCATGGATGGATTGGTGTCCAACGCTTAAATGACACGATCATGTTTACTAACACAACACATTTAATGTGATTGCATGCAGTTTTCAATTACAACACCATGTTCCACAATGTGTTGCAAGTGACCAAACATGACTATGAATCTTGCAACGTCAAATCCCCAGTCGCCACCTTTGCTAGTGGCAGAGACTTCATCACCCTCGACAAAGCAGGCCACTCGTACTTCGTGTGTGGTTTTCCTGGTCATTGCCAAGCGGGACTCAAGGTTGCTATCTCAGTCAGGGCGTCATCTTCTCAGAGCCCAGAAGTTCCAAGCCCCCCTTCTACACCAAAAGAGATTCCTCCTCCCCCTCCTCCTCAAACCCTTTGTGCTCCTGGCCAACCTAATTTTCATCCTCCACCATTAGGGTTTCCAAACGTACCTCTTCCACCGGGCTTCCCAAATTTTGGGACGCCTTCAGGACCTGGCTTTCCTTATTTGCCTCCTTTCTACAGTAGTGCATCTCTCCATTCCTCTAACCTCAAGGCAGCAATGTTGAGTGCCATCATGACAAATTTATTTGCTGTTTTTGCGTATTGATTAGGTTGTTGACTTTTGTTTTTACGAGTTTTTATATTGTCATCATTTGGAAAGGAACCTCTTCTATTCTTTGTTAGCATTACTTCTTCTTTTTTATATATATAATTTTATTTATAACAATGCTTAATTGTTACTAAGAATCAAGACAGGAACTCAATTTTGAAAAATTAAATTAAGATTTCTGTCAAAATCAAATATATTAATTCCTATCCTTAGAGATCATGGACAATTCAAGTAACGTGAAATTAAAATTAAGAGAACGTGAAATTAAAATTAAGAGAATTATTATCAGCTACATATTATTAATATTATTAATAGTGATCATTTTATTTTACTTTATTTTTTATGAAATTGACCCACCTGATTTTTATATGAATTTCCAATTCTACTGCATGCAAATAACGATTCAAATGCGTCTAAGTTATAGATTTCCTTTAATTTTTATTTTTTAATCCACCGATGAAGCCCATATTTTTTAGGTTTACTTTCATTCTTTTTTATGAATATAAAAAAAAAATGATGTGAACCAATTTATAAACATCAATAATGATCCATTACATGTTCTAAATGAGTTAATTTAAGGTATATTAGCCAACACCAATAAGAACCCATTAAATATTCTAAATGGGTTAATGATTCAGGTTAAGACAAAGACATTAAATACATTGGTTTTGAAAATTTCAACCAAGTCAAATTTTAAAGGTCCATTGAAATATAAAGAGGAGGCATTAATATATTTTATCCATGTGCAAGAGGAGCCCAATTGAAACTTGTTTGGTCCATGAGGTTCCAACAAAAAAGTTGGTAATTTTCTAAATTTTCAATGAGGAGAAAACACAACAAAAAAAATAAAAGAATCATATTACAACATAAAAATGATACAAGTTTATGAGCTAATCCACATCATACTTCTTCATGTCTGAAAGAGAAAAACACAAACACACAGAGCTGAAAAAACAAAGAAGCAAACCATGAGGACATTTGTAAATAAATTAGTAAAAAAGCCATGGAACAAATCATCAAGCAAATCTAAAGGAAAAAACAACAAATCATAAATGGTAAAGAAGTAATGGAGTGAAGAAAAGCTAAAAAACCAATTCTTATGACATAAAAAATAATGAAAGAAGATAAACCACACTATTTTTTTTTTTTTTTGAAGAAGAATGTACTCTTAAGTAAAATGAGAAAAATTTGAACACATAAAATTTCTAAAAAAAAGTGCATTCTTGACATGCGAAATTTAAGTATCAATCAAATGCCACGCTAACCTTTAAATGGCGTGCTACGGTTCAGGTTCAGCTTTGGATTCCTTCTAGTAAGCATTCAACTATGTTTTTAAGATTGGTTATTGACATGGTTAACACGATTAAAAGATTGATGTCTTCTTTTAAGTGTAAGAGTGTTGAAGTAATAAATAACTCGGCAAGACTAGGGTCGAACCATAGAGACATGAACTATATAAAATTATAAACAATAAATAAAAAAAAGTTGAAGAGAATTTTTGAGATGTGATATTGATGTAAAGATTAAACAAAGATAAAATAATTGTCAAGGTTAGAGGATCTACTAATGGTATTTCAAAAAAGTATAATATAAACTTGTTTTATTACTCAACTGGAAATCACACACATAGAAGGTTTCAATTGGATTATAAATTATTAACATGATTACATTTATTATCTTATTCGAATAATGCTAATACTTATAGATATTGTTAGATATTCATGATGTTAATTTATGTTAACAACAAATCAAGTTCCTTATATAGCATAGGTGTTGGTCATACCATATAGTTGGGTTATGAAAGTGGCAAGTATTTGTTATACTAAGGGTTATACAATATAAACCTAGATTAACTATTTAACAAGCAAAGTATTAAGAGTGAATACGATAACAAATACAACATTAAAAATCTAGATTAACCACAAGGAGATGAACTATATAAAATTATAAACAATAAATGAACAGAATTTGAAATGAACTTTTGAAATGTGATATTGATGTAAGTATTAAACAAGAACAAACTAATTGTCGAGGTTAGATGATTCACTAATGGTATTTCAAACAAGTATAATATAAACTCTTTTTATTACTCAACTAGAAACCACACACAAAGGAGGTTCCAATTGGATTATAAATTGTTAACATGATTACATTAATTATCTTATTTGAATAATACTAATACTTGTAAATGTTGTCAAGTATCCATAATGTTAATTTATGTTAACAACAAATAAAGTTCCTTACATAGCACAAGTGTCGGTTATAGCATATAATTAGGCTATGAAAGTGTCAAGTATTTGTTGTGCCAATGGTTATACAACATAAATTTAGATTAACCATTTAATAGGCAACGTATTAAGAGTGAATAAAATAACAGATACAAAATATATTAGTATCAAGCATTAAAGTTGTCATAACCCATGTTTTGGTTATTCTCCAATTCATATTTTTTCTCTCTTCAAAATATATAAAAAATAAAAAAATATAGTAGTGAAAAGAGAATGTCAGCACATCCAAAAAATGGCTAAAATTTGGTTAAGGAGGTTTAAAAATACAAAATTTGAAATTTGACGGTATTTTGTTAATTGATGAGAGTCCTACTAATAAAGAAAATTCAATTTAAAGAAGAAAAGTCCAAAAATCATATGTTTATAGACTCAATTAAATTTTATTGGATGTTTAATTGAATCTATTAAGGGTTGGATTACAAGAAAAAATAATTTTGAAGTTAATTTGGGCTTTAATTGGAATAATTAAAGGTCTGGAGTCAAATTATAATTTTTGAGAGTTAATTTGGTCAAATCAGGGGCTCAATTGTATAAATATTAAAGTTTGATAGCTAATTAAGAACTTAATTGAAGACATCTGAAACCAATCAGGGGCTAAATTGAAGAAATTAGAAGTTTATTGCTCAATTGAGGGTCAAATTACACTAATTCGAGACCAATGACAAATTTGGAAAAAGCGGCCAACTTTAAGGTCGAGGATTAAATTTGGTAGGGATGCAATTGAATTGATTTTTAAAATCAAAATTACAATTGAGGACTCAATAAATCACAAATTGAGGATTGATTTGGACTTTGATATAAGTTTGGCGCCGTTTTCATTTAAATAAAACAGCGTGTTTTATCCAAAACGGTGTCATTTCATACATTGTTAAAAAAAAAAAAAGAAGCCTGAAATGGTGTCATTTTGAATGACACTATGGGTCTTCTTGTTCCCCTAGTCGCGCGAAGCCGGGGAAGAAAAAGATTTTTCTTCCTCTGTTTTCCACCGCTTTCCCTTTCAAAAAGACACCAACTCCCTTTCAAAAAGACACCGACTAAGGACCCCCACTTGTCCAAAACTTTCCATGTGTTAAAGGGGCGGCAGCACAGTGGTTGCCTCGTCCTTTTTCTCCCCTATTTTTTGCCAATAAAAACAGGGGAGCATTAGAGAAAAAAAAGGGTTGAACAATAGAAGAGAAGAAAAATGAGACGACAAGTGAGACAAGAGAACATAAGAGAGAAGAGAACTGAGAGAGGAAAAAGAAAAAAAGAAGAAGAAGAAAAGAAAAACCAGAAAAACCAGGGGAAGAAATGGTGAGAACCATCATCATCGGCACCTCCACCATTGCCAACAGCTGCGTCTTGCCACCTCAACTGCAGCTAGCAGCACCGTGAGCCACCGCAAGTCAACCTTTTTCCCTCTCCTCCTCCACCTCTTTCTTCTTCTTCTACATCTTCTTCTCTAATGTTCACGTTGCATGTGAACAATAGAGAAGCCCACTGTTTAATGGGCTAGCAACACCAATCCAACCTAAAATGGTTGGGCTGGGTCCGGCCCAATTCAAAAAAAATTCCTTTTCAAAAATTGTAATTGTTTTCCATGTTTTTTTTTTTACTGAAGTTTGCTTAGTATTTGGTTGATATTTTTATACCAAACAAATACAAATCTAGTATTAAAATGCCCGGTTTTCGTCAAAACTTTTAAAAATACAAAAAAATTGAAAAAAAATATTTTTACACATAAGACCAATTGTCTCAAAGCTAAAAAATCATATTGTGTTTTTTATACAAGAAAAAACAATGTTTTAGCATGTATTTTGGCTTTAATAACCAATTTATTAAAGTCAAGAGAACATTGACCAAAATTTCAAAAATAACAAAAATTTTATTTTGTTTGTCTTTTAGTATACGGGGTTCAATTATACATAATACGTATTCTAGATATTGAATTTATTTTTTTTAGACACTAGAATGGTTAGGTTTTACCCTATTAAGATAAGAACCTTCTTATTAAGAAGGGCTTTTCTTGAACCTTAGACAGGACCAAAGACTAGAAAACGTAATCAAACCTTAGTTTTTTTATAAGACAATAAAACAATACAGCTTACCTTAGGTAGGGTGTATTTGGGGTGCTAATACTTTTCCTTTACGCAACCAGTCTCCGTACTCGATCTATAAGACCGATTAGGGTTTCTAGTGATCAAAATACTAAATGGCAACTCCCATTCTTTTTTACTAATAAGAGACAACATATTTGCCAGATAGACCAAACCATTTTACTTAAGATGGTGGACGATCGCAGCGACGCCACACACGTACGACAAAATGACAACTCTACTAGACACCTTGTGGACTAAGCTTTGTTTTGTCTGATAATTGTGTTTTATTGTTGGGTTTACGTGTTTATTGTTGATATGCATTTCCTTTATTTATTTTCTTATGCACTTTACATTTTGTATATATTTGTTCATGTATTGTATAAAATTGCCTCATGCACCACACTTTAATTCTTTGAAAAGCACACACAAGCTTCTAAGTTAAGTGGGGAATTAGTTATCTACCCTATGACTATTGGTCAGGGTTTATATACGTGAAACACCCAACTCATATCTAAGTGCCTACTTGGTAATGGTGAGTATATATGCCTTAACCATTTCTTGCAACGCCCCAATATTATCTTTATGAAGATCGTCACTAGGCAAATATGAAAACCTTTTAAGACCAAGTAGA